AATATTCACCCTGAATCATCTATGCCTCTAGCCCCGTCTTCCAGCGTACAAATAAAGGGACTACAAAACAAAACACTGAGAAAACACAATCAGACAAATTCCGACTTGATGACAAGATGACTGGGCTGTCCTCTTTACAAGGATGACAATATGAAGAGGAACAGGGTGGAACTGTTTACTATGAAGAGACACCGCAAACAAAAGCACATGGTTGGATCCTGGCTTGGGGAGGCACAGGCAACAGCTATAAAAAATATTTTAGGGACAACTGGGGAAATCAAATGTGCACTGCATAGAAGATGATATGACAGGCTACTGCTCATTTCTTCAGATGTGGTAAATGTGGTTACAAGAAACCTTCACTACTGGGAGAGTACTTAGGAGTGAGCCATCATGCTATTGGCAATTTTTTCAAAAAACAAAAACAACACATAGACAACCCCACACAAATACATATACAGAAAAAGAATGGGGGGGTCCCCAGTCTTCCCCCTCCCCATACTGCAGCCCTCCATTCTTTTAAGCTCTCAGTAGTCAGGATTAAAGGCCCCAGATTTAAAACCTTGAAGTATCCTGGACTCAGCATACCATGTGGACAAGGCCCACTCTCAGGCCCCAAGAACCTAGGAAGACAGAAGACAGGGGAACTCTCTCCTCAGACAGACAATCTGGTTAGAGACTAGGTTCCTGAACAGGCTGCAATGACTCTTGGCCCCCTCCCTTTCCCAGAAAGGAATACTGTGTGTCTAGGCACGTCTGTAATTAGCCCAAAGAGGCACCCTGCCCCCACAACACCCAGTCTTATTTTGAAGGAGAGGCCACATAGATGGAGCAAAAGCCTGGAGGTAGCCCCCAAAGACAGTGGGGTTCTCCTCCAGCCATACCTAGGGGAAGGTCAGTGGGGTGAGGGAGGGGCAGGGCTGTAGAGGACCCTGCTCCTCCCTGCTGCAGGGGGTCAGTGCAGAGCTGGGAGACTCTGGGCATGGCTTGCAGGCTGGGTGACTCTGAGTTAGGGGTGCTCTGCACCCTGCCTGACCACTGAGGATTTTAAAGGTTTTGTACTAATTTCCAGAATAAGCCCCATGGGTAGCTAAAATTAACAGCACAAATCCACCAGAATGAGAACTGTTAACACCTCACTAAAGGGAACTCTGGAACAGGAACAAAGACCTTGAAAGTAAAGTTGGAGGAACCAAGGTCAAAGGAGGAGAAGGAAGAGGAGAAGATGGGAGTGGGGAGGCAGGGGGAAGAGGCACCATCCCAGAACCACCCCGTCCCCAGCAGACAAAGGCTCTGGGAAGCTATAAAGTCACAGAAGTCCCACAATTGAGGCTGAGACCGAAAACCTCCAATGCAAAAAGATAATGGTCACTGGAGGGAATGGAGACACTTCTGTGCAGGGGAGACGGCAGCGAAGGAGGAAGAGTATCCAACCACACTGCACCACACAATCCCTGCAGCTGGGGGGTCAAGGACAGCTGAGGGATGGTGTGTATCTTGAGGAGCAACTGTGTTGCGGCACCTTGAGGCTGGCACCCTGTGCTCAGGTTCGGGTCTGCAAAGGCATACATCTGTCTCATCATCATGGCTTCTCTATCAGTTCTGGCTATTTTTATTGGATAAATCAGGTTTCCAGGGCACTATCCCACTCTTTACCATGGAACCCAAATTAAATGAGGAGAAGAACCGACCACAGCACCTGCTCCCTCTAGCTTCCTCAGAATGAAGGGCCTGTGCAGAGGCAGGGCCTGCAGTTGGTCCTTGGGGTCCCTGCACCCCAGTGTGATGAGTACAAGGTGCCAGCAAGCAGCAGCAGGAAACTACACAAACATAGAACATAAAATGCAACACGGAGAACTACCTTAGAGTTGGAGAAGTCTTAGAAATCATGAAAGCTGAACATGAGAAAACTTTCTCTCTGCTGCTTGAAGACTGAGGACAAAACCAAACCACTCAAACCTGCACAGGTCACCTTCAGTCCTCTGCTGTGAGGCTGGCAACAAAGCCCCCTCCGCACTATCAGCTTTTCCCTCCCACACTGTCCCACCCTTGTAATCCCCTTTACCCCAATTGCTTATTTGATTCTGTTTTGAGCAGGAAATAATACACAAACTCATTAAAATGATAATTCACAGATTATGATGGTTTAGCAGAACTAAAAGGATATTCATCTCAGTTATTATATCCTACCACTTCCCAAAATATCTTAGGAAGCTTATAATCTACAAAAACACAATATATTAAGATAATGGCAAAATGCCATCCACAGGACACTTAAAGCAGAGTGTCTCATTTTCACAAAGGAAGCAATAGCAGAGGTCACCAAACCAAGGTCCTAATGTTGAGTAGGCAGGTCCTTCCATTTGCCACATGCTGTGAGCTGCAGCCTTGAAGGCACAGTCCCAGCAGGTGGGTCCCCTGCTAAGAAAGCCACACAGGTTCCCTGTGCCCTACTGATAACCCAAGTCCCAGCCTCTGTCTGCTCAGGGGAATCCTGTGCCAGGGCATGATTTCCTGCCTCTGCTCCTGCCCCTGTCTGAATGGAAACATCCACTCTTCATCCTTTATATGCCAAGAGCTGGTTGAGTCTCCAGCACATGTGTCTGCAACCATCTCTTCTGTGACTCCCTATCAACTCCCAGGCAGGACATCAGTGACCTGCTGGCTGTGTACTTCACTATACACGTAGTGGCACCTCTGGGTGCCTCCATGGGTAACCTGCACCTTCCACACAGACAAGTCACTAGGTGTGTATGGGGCTGGGTCGGTGTTCTTCCTCTTTTCCCAGGGCAAAGGTGTGGATACACCACACCCCAACAGTCACAGAAACCCCACGTCCCAAGACCGGCACCATGCTAGGGTGCCTCAAGCACACCCTCTCTACCTAGCAGCATTTGCTCACTGCCAAGGTCATTCACTGAATGGGATGCCTGCCTCCTGACATACAGCCAAGCACAAGACCACACACGGTGAGAATGAAAGCCAAGGGGGCCCCTGCTGCTCCTTGCACCACAACAAATACGGTGGAGCTCTGTGTGCACACAGCACATAGACACCTCCCACACACAAGCCACAGTCCCCTATTACTGGTTCTGAGCCATTCGGGCAGGGTGTCAACCCCTCTCCGGTTCTTTCTCAGCTCACCACTCTTGCAGAAGGGAAGGGACGTGAACTACACTGACTTGGATTGTTCTTCTGGGGTCTTGGGTCTCTGATGGGAAAGAGGGTACCCCCCTAGGGACCAAACACACTTGCCCAAAGTCCCCCACACCTCCTGATGTGTCACCTTAGGCAGCTCTGCTTACCTGGCACAAAGGCTGGCCAGGTTATCCCTTGGCGTGATGTGGGGATGCAGCCCCAAGTGAGTGAGGCAGACAGTACTGCAGTAAACACACCTTCTACCCTCTCCAGCTCAGCCAACCATCCCATCTACAGGCAGTTCCTGAATTTACAGATTGGCATACAAGTTCACTGGTAAGGACCATGTCCCCCAGCCAACTAAATCACCTTCATCCACTCAGGTCTTGCAACACAGGGATACAAATGCTGTGCCCAAAGACCCAATGGTGCTGACACCACTTTCAACTGTCTGGCTCAAGTGATCCATCAAAGGCCTGGGCTCAGCTCCTTCCTCAGCAGGACAATGATAACCCTGTCCCTTTCCTCTAGGTTCCCCGAGGAGACCCTCCCTTTTGTCAGGCATGGTGACTATAGGCTGTCCAGAGGGGCCTTCAGTGCACATGGCTTCCCTCTACCAGCAGACCTGCGAGGGAGCTACCTTCTACTCTCTCAAGACACCACCCACACTGCAACGAGAACACTCAGCACTACTCACTGTCCCCCCAAAAGGGTAACCCTCTTGACTCTGGGTCTTTCAGAATGCAGACCACGACTCCCACCTGACTTCTCTGCTGTGTTCCTCTCTCAGCTACTTCCCCCAGAGAAGGCCAACCCTAACTCAGACTATTTTTGATGGAGCAAGAGACAAAACCTGAATGCTTACTCGGAGACAGTCCAGCCAGTGTGGACTTCCTACCACACCCCAGCAGAGTCTAAGGAAAGTAAGAAGCTGTGCTATGAAGAAGGCAGAAGATGGAGCAAAGAGAGGAAAAGGCAAGCTTGCAGGAGGAGAAAGGAAAGGATACTTCCATCCCTCCCTGGGCTAGCTCCACATTCACTTAAGTTGGGCACTAGGGATACAGAAAGAGGACAAGCTAAAGCCCTGGCATCGGGGAGGGCAGCATAAGCCAGTGACAAAGAGACATAAAACAAAAAGGGCAGGGTATAATAAAGCAGCATGAGAGGAATGAACATAAAGTGCACATGTGGGAATCCAGAGAATGGCAGAAGCTTTTGAAGAGTTGAGCACGCATCAGAGGAGAGAAGGGCAAGCCAGAACAGAAGATGAGCAGGTGTGCGCTGGGTGGGTGGGGAGGCAAAGAAACAGCAGGGTGGGATGGCAGGGCACACAGAGATGGCAGAAGGCAGGACTCAGAGACACAGCTGAAAACAGAAGAGGCAGAGAGCAAGGGACACATGGACCAGGTACATCTCAGTTAAAACAAGGAGTGGAACTTCAGCCTGGTCAGCCCAAGGAAGAGGTGGAGGTAGAAATATGGAACGAGGCCAGGGCAGGGATAGGGTATAGAGTGAGTAAGAATGAGGAGCCCTGGAGGCAAAGAGACCAACTGGGAACCTGGCGGAACCGTCCAAGTCTGAACTACAGGAGGAGGTGGGAGGTGTGTGGGAGACAGGACGTGACTTGCCAGCCAACAGAGAAACAGGAGAGAGGCTGAGTTTCCAGGCTGCACAACTGGGACAGGCAGTGCTCTTCACCAAGAGGACAAACGTGGAGGAGAACCCTGTAGGGGTGGGGTGGGGACCAATGGCAAACAGGACCCTGTCCCAAGTCCTGCTGGTTCTTCCAAGAAGCCTAGGGCAACTGGCACGGCTCAGTGCCTTACGGGTTTCGGCATCCCCCTTTAACACCCCAGCCTCACCTGCAGCCAAAGGTTGTCTGCAGCAAAGTTGTGATTCCCACGCAGAAGAAAATGGTCCCGATGAGCTGGCTGGTGGCCCACTGGTCATACCCCACACACATGGCGTCGGCCAGCAGGAAGGGCACTGCAATGGTGCCGCTGAAGCACGTCAGGTAGTGCTGTGGGTGAGAGAAGAGACGAGAGGGAAAGAGGAACCCTCCCTCATTTGCTCCTGGTTTTATCCCAGCCTTGCTCCTCTAGTATCTCAAATATATAAACACAGTTCACATGAAGAATCTCTTTGATTTCTCATGTGCTAAATCACATTTTTTTTCCCTTTTCATTGTGTTTTCTTATCCTGTTTCCCCCTTATATGATGACTTACTAGTTTCATGAATCCAGGCCAGCACAAAGGAAGGACTCAAGACAGCTTATGTATTTTTACTGGAGACACCTGCTCCCCTGCCCCAAAGCTTTATTGGCACTGGGTCTTTCTCCTCTTATCTGTTAACTTTGTTATGCTGAACCACTCCTGCGTTCTTCAAATAAACCCTGGTTAGTCAGGCTGTACTTTTATTCTAGGATTTGATCTGCTAGTATTTTTTAATCTGCATTGCTAAAACAGTCTATAGTTTCTTGCTTTTTAAAAAATATATATTTTAGTTGTAGATGGACCCAATATCTTTATTTTATTTATTTATTTTTATGTCGTGCTAAGGATCAAACCCAGTGCTTCACACATGCTAGGCAAACGCTCTACCACGGAGCCACATCCCCAGCCCTATTTGCTCTTTTTTAATTCTTTCAGGTCAGGGGATTAAAGCTACATAAGCTTCATTGCATAGGGTGTTTTCCAGATTTTTCTATGGTCTGGTATTGTTCGGCAGACACAGAATTTTTCTGTTCTTGTCAAGACAGGTAAAGACACAGTGGCTCCATCTCTGAGGACCCCTCCCCACTCCTTGTGACTCTGGACAGTCCCAGCACTCACAACTCACTTCTCTGCTTGGCTGGTTCTCATTTCTGTTCCGCAAACTCCCTACTCTTCTTCCTCACAGCTTTCCCATCTGCCCATGTTTGCCAAACACGCTGCCTGCAGCCCATGAAGCCCAACAGTACAGGTGTTTCCTTGGGGATGAAACACGCTACTCAGTTTGTGTACTACACATTATCAAGAAGAGCAGTACACAGGCAGGATTTTTCACTCCTGTGTAACTAGGGGAGACTTTTAGACACATCTACAATAGGAAGATTCCAAACAGCAGGTTTCCAGCACTTGGTTCAGGATACTCGGCCCAAGGTTAAGTATTCACCAAGAGTGCTCAGCTCCTTTGGCTCTGACTGCTCCTTTGCTAGACACCTTTGATGAAGGCTGCCATGAGTTCTGACACCTAAAGGGAGGGCAGGGCCTGGAAACCTGACCAAAGCACCAGGTCAGCAGGCACAAGCCCACTTCCACATAAGCAAATGTGTCTGGGCTCTGAGACCAACTTTCACAGCTTGTGAGAAACCCTAGGGCAACTGATCATGCAAACTTGAGAAAGGGAAAATGGAAAGTCAGACCTCAGAACAGGGTCTAAGCTAAAACAACAGAGCAAATGAAGGCCAGGAGGTGCCACTGAGGAAAGAGCTTCCTGCCTTGTCCCCTTTCTCCAAAAAAACACTTTAAGCCTTTAAGTGGGAAAAGGAGCTAGAGAGAGAAGGGAAAGTATCAAGCATGAAGAAGGCCTCCGAGTGTCACCTAGCCTTGTCCCCCAGCCTACCTGCCCTTCAAGACAAAGTGGCCACTTCTATAGCCATAGCCAAGTTTCCCTTCTTTTTAAAGGTAAGACTCTCTCCAGTTATGTTCTGGCCAAAAGGGCATTTTTCAGGGTTACTCATATTTCATGGCAGAGTTTGCCGTGACTGTGGACTGGATTTAGCCAAGACAGGAATGGGCAGTAAAAATCAACCCCTCTGTATTGGTCGGCTTTCTTCTATTTTACCTTCTATTCCTTTTTTTCCCCCTTCTTTCTTTATTTTTTGGTTTCAGGGATTGAACCCAGAGGTATTTGACCACAGCTATAACTCCAGTCCTTTTTATTTGGAGTCTTGCTAAGTTGCAGAGGCTGGCCTCGAACTTGTAACCCTTCTGCCTCAGCCTCCAGAATCACTGAGATTAAAGGAAAGCACCACTGCAACTAGCCTTCTTTTGTATTTCTACTACCATCTTATTCTTCCCCCTTCATTATTCCCTGAACATTTTTTTTCTTTCTTTTCCCAGTTTTTCTCTTGCTCTGCCTTTTTTTTTTTTTTTTTTTGGTACCAGGGATTGAACCCAGGGGTTCTTTACCACTGAGCCACATCCCCAGCCCCATTTTATTTTGAGACAGAATCTTGCTAAGTTGCAGCTGAGGCTGGCTTTGAACTTATAATCCTTCTGCCTCAGCCTACAAAGCTGGTGGGATTATAAGCATGCGCCACTGTACCAGGCTTCCTCTGCTATTTTGAAATTGATGTTAAAAATTCCCATTCATGGGGGGCTGGGGCTGGGGCTCAGCAGTAGAGCACTTACCTACCATATGCAAGGCACTGGGTTCAATCCTCAGTACCACATAGAAATAAATAAATAAATAATTCCCATTCATGGGCTGGGGCTGGGGCTCAGCAGTAGCACAGTTGCCTGGCACTGTGAGGCACTGGGTTAGATTCTCAGCACCACATATAAATAAATAAAGGTCTATTAACAACTTAAAAATATATTTTTTTTAAATTCCCATTTAACACTCTTAAGAGTAAATTTATAATAAAATATTCAATAAATAAAATTCAAATTTGAATTTTCCAAAAACTCAGGTGTTTGACAATTCAGGCATCTGACAGTGGTTACACATTCTGAAGGCACCATCTTACCTGCAACCCCAGAAATATGCACAGGTACCAGGGAGGAACATCTTCTATGGTGTAAATCATGTCTGACCTTTGGGGGTCCAGACTGCCAGTGCTGTCCAGAGTCTCTGCAAGAGAGCTCTGTGGGTGAGGGGAAAGGACATAATTAGTGAAGGCCCAGACGAGGTGCATTCAGCTCCGTACAGCCCGCTGTTGCTGAGAAATAACTCTAACCTCTAGGCTGCCTTTCTTTAAATCTTGAGCCTTGGCCCCATTTGAGGCGAGGGTCAAGTACACTGATTCAGTGGGACGGCTGATCCTCTGATTCTGGGATTCTGGGTCCCTTGGTATCAACTCATCCCCCTAAGCACCCAGCTTGCTCAGAGCTTCTCTCCAAATCAGTGGATCTTCCTAGTTGGACAGAGATGCTTGCTCCAGGGTTTGGTACTGTAAAGTGACACCCTGAGACCTCCAGTGAACAGATGTTGTAAAACGTCAACTGCTTTCAAACAAAAAGTACTGGTCTGCCCCTCCCACCCAACCCCATCCCATTGCATCCCTGGTAAGGAGAGCATCTTTGTATATAAAAATAAAGTCTACACTATAAGGTTCACATCTTAACTACCATTAAGACAACTAAAACCCAGTTCCTACTGGCCAAAACACTGTTGCTCAGACAATAGGGGGTGGGGCTCCAATGTATGTAGACCCTTAGGGTTTGAGTCAGATTCACAGCCAGACCGACTTCAGTCCTCAAGCTCTTAACCTCTTCTCTCTGGCATCCTGGGTGAGGCTTTTCAAAACATCTAGATAATGAACTTAACTACCATCAAGACAACTAAAACCCAGTAAATATGATTCCTCTCTCCATTAAAAAGAGAACAGACCCACAGACACAGCCCTGCACAGGAGGGTAGACCCAGAGTCCCCGTCCAAGGACATCCCCATCCCTGCAGCATGGGGTCCAGGGCAGAGGCAGGGACATGGGACATGACAGTACCTTCTCAGCAATGCCATTTTCTGTAGTGTAGATTGCCATGAGCTCTGTGTCTTCATTGTCCTGCTCACCAGTGGACGTGGCCCCTCCATTGATCACCACCTGAAGAGAAACCCTCCATTAAGAGGCTGTGTCACAAAACTCAAAGTGGATCAAGGACCTAGGCATTGGGCCAAAGACTCTGCACCAACACAAAGAAAATGTAGGCCCAACGTTCCATCACATCGGCTTAGGAACCAAATTCTACATCAAGAATCCTAAAGCGCAAGAAGTAAAATTGAAGATCAATAGTGGGATCGTATCAAACGAAAACGTTTCTTCACAGTAAAGAAGGCAATCAAGAATGTGAAGAGGGAACCCACAGAATGGGAAAAAATCGTTGCCATCTGCACCTCAGATAGAGCATTGATCTCCAGGATATAAAAAGAACGCAAGGGCTAGGGTCATGGCTCAGTGGTAAAGCGTTTGCCTTGCATGTTCGAGGCCCTGGGTTCGATCCTCAGCACCACATAAAAATAGATAGATAGATAGATAGATAGATAGATAGATAGATAGATAGATAGATAGATAGATAGAGGTGTATCCTCAGCATCACATAAAAACAAACAAATAAATAAATAAAGGTATTAAAAAAAAAAAGGAACTCAAAAAATTCCAACACCAGCTGGGTATGGTGGCGCACACATTGTAATCCCAGGAGCAGCCCAAGAGGCTGAGGCAGAAGGATCACAAGTTCAAAGCCAGCCTTAGCAATTTAGCAAGGCCCTAAGTAACTCAGTAAGACCCTGTTGCTAAATAAAATATTAAAAAGGGCTGGGGGTGTTGTGGCTTAGTGGTAAAGTACCTCTGGGTTCAATCTCTTGTACTAAAAAAGCTCAAAACCTTAACACCAAATATAAATAATAAATAAATAAATAAACCAATCAATAAATAGGTAAAGCATTGAACAGGCACTTCACAGAAGAAATAAAATTGGTCAACAAATACATTTTTTTAAAAAAGGTTCAAACGATTAGAGCAATACAATGTCCAGCAATTAGAGAAATACAAATTAAAACTGCACTAAGATTTCATCTCACTCCAGTCAGAATGACAATTATCAAGAATACAAATTAACAATAAATGTTGGTGAGGGTGTAGGAAAAATTGCTGGTGGGACTGCACATTGGTGCAATCATTCTGAAAAGCAGTATGGAAATTCCTCAGAAAATCTGAAATAGAACCATCATTTGACTCACTATATACCCAAAGGACTTAAAAATCAGCATATAACAGTGATACAGCCACATCAATGTTTATAGCAGTGTAATTCACAAGAGCTAAGCTATGGAACCAATCTAGGTGCCAACAGATGAATGGATAAAGAAAATGTGGTATTTATACACAATGGAATATTACTCAGCCATAAAGAAGAATGAAATTATGGCATTTGCCAGTAAACGGATGGAAATGGAGAGTATCAGATGGAACTGGAGAGTATCCTGCTAAGTGAAATACGCCAATCCCAAAAAACCAAAGGTCGAATGTTCTGATATGCGGATGCTAACACACAATGGGGGCGTGAGGATAAAAGTTCATTGGATTAGACAAAGGGGAATGAGGGGAAGGGAAGGGAGAGGTACTGGAATAGGAAAGACAGTGGAATGAATCAGACCTAAGTTTCCTACATTCATATATGAATATAGGACCAGTGAAATTCTACATCCTGTTCAACAAGAATTGGAGTCCTACTTAGAATAAGTTTTACTCCATGTATGTATAATAGGTCAAAATACACTCTGCTGTCATTGTACATATCTGAAAAGAACAAATAAAAGAAAAAGAGGCTGTGTCAGCACTTAACACTCTGCTGTGGAGAAACTTGTTTTTTTCCTTTTAAAAAGGCCTCTGTAAGGCTCATAGGGGTCCAAAGTATGCAATTCCCCCATCACAGCAGCAAAGTTTTAGTTTTCTTAAATGAAATTCTAGTTTTTGTTTAGTTTTGTTGTGGTGCTGGGGACTGAACCCAGGGCCTTGAACATGTGAGGCAAGCACTCCGCCCACTGAGCTATATCCCCAGCCCTCTTAAATGAAATCGTGAGGCTGTCACCGTGCTGCAACAGCGACCAGGGCATGCGTTTTTGATGGAGGCAGTGTCGTGTCTCACAGAAGCTCAGCCAAGGGGAAGAGGCTCAGAGGGGCCAGTGATGACCAGGCCATCCATCATCACTGAACAGAAGAGAATACCCCAAAGCTGCTCAGAGAAGATCCCTCCCGAGAAACCACCTGACGGCTGCCCTGGAAGGAGGAACTTCAGCTAGAGGAACTGGAACTGTGCTCTTCCCCGACTAGCTTGCCAGCTTAGTTAACACTCACTGCCCTTACATAAACTAGCCTATTGTGTGGGCTCCCCTTGTGCCCCAGGTGGGAGCACACACCAACAGGCTAGATTATTAACAGTACCAATTAATATTCAATTCATATTCAGTTTCTGGGTCTCCCACATAAAGACCAGGACCCGTCTGGGGAAAGTTCAAAGGAGACACCTGGCACCCAGCAGTCCCTTCTCTGCCTGCCCTTGGTGAGGGGCAGCATGATCATCTTGGGTTCCACCGTCCTGCAGCAGGAACGTTAACATTTTTATTCTTCAGGCAAATGTTTCCGTTCCTAGCAATCTTTCCTGCAGAAGCAAAACTGAAAACCAAAAAGGCTTAAACCCAAAGAAAGTAATCACTGCCTAAGTATAACAAGTAATTAGTTATAAACCACTTATTTACATCCAGAATACAAGAAAAATTAGTTTGTAATATCAAGGAAACTTGAACATTAAGTTAACTATAGACATAACAGAAAAACTACATTTTTAAAATACAGATTAAAAAAGAAAAAAAGGTTTAAATTACATTACTGTGAAATGTACTAAAAAAAAAAAAAGAAAAGAAAAGATTAGATGGCCATAGAGAAAACAGACTTCTATATATGAAAAAGGGTCTGTCACAATAGTTCATGAAAAAAAAAAACAAAGGAAATGGGCAAAGGCTAGGAATATCAAATTCACAGAAGAAAAATTAAGATATGCAATAAGCATACAAATAGCTGTCTCAATTTTAATTCACTTAGAAAATTATAAAAATGACGTGTAAAATAAAATTTATTTTTTAACACAGATTTGAGGAATTTAAAAGATGAACCTAGGGTTGACCAGGGTGTGGAGGACAGCAACCATCCTATGTTCTTGGTGGAATCGTCTTTGTGAGGGGTGATATGGAGAAGGGATTTAAAACAGGTATTTTTCTGGATCTAGCAACGGCATGCAAACTCATTCTTGAGAAATATCCATGCCTGGGGTATGTGTGTTTGAAGTTGACCACTGCAGCGTTGTTTGAATTATTGAATACTTAGGGAAAACCTAAATATTCATCAAAAAGATAGATATTGGGCTGGGGGATGTAGCTCAGCACTATAGTACTTGCCTAGCATGTCCAAGGCCCTTAAAACTTAAAATCAGCTTACTATAGTAATACGGCCATGTCAATGTTTATAGCAGCTCAGTTCACAACAGCTAGATTATGGAACCAACCTAGGTGAATGGATAAAGAAAATGTGGTGAAAAAAAAAAAAAAGAAAAGAAAAGAAAATGTGGTGTGTGTATATATATATATTTTTTTCAATGGAACATTATTCAGATTTAAAGAAGAATGAAATTATGGCATTTGCCAGTAAATGAATGGAGTTGGAGAATATCATGCTAAGTGGAATAAGCCAATCCCCAAAAAACCAAAGGTCAAATGTTTTCTCTAACATGTGGATGCTGATTCACAATAAGGCAGAGGGCAACTAGAGAAGAATGGCATTACCTTAGATTAGGTAGAGGAAGTGAAGGGAGGGGAGGGGAGGGGATGTGGGGATAGAAAAGATAGTAGAATGAAGCAGGCATTATTACTTTATGTATATATGTGACTGCATGACCAATATGATTCTAAAACATGTATGCTCAGAAAAAATGAGAAATTATATCCCATCTATGTATATCAAAGTGCATAAATGTATTCTACTGTCATGTGTAACCAGAACAAATTCAAAAATTTAAAATGGTAAATAAATAAAGTTTTAATAACCTGCCTACCTGTGCAAACCCTTGGTAAAGGATCCAGAAAAATCACAAATCAGTAGGAAGAGTGCCCCTGAGACAAGACAGCTATGGCAGACACCTTCTTCCTCAGAACCCTCCTTGGATGTTTGGATCTTTTATAATCAGTATATATCCATATGTTATTGCATATTACTTCCAAATATTAGCAGTGGTTGTTTTTTAATCAATAGTCCTGAATTTTTTACCTTCTTTTCCCCTTGTTTACTTTGGCAATTTCTCTAATGAGTACAATTTATTTCTACAAGGAAAAAGAACTTAAAAGACAAAAGGTCTAAGCAGCTTAGTGTAGATTGGAAATCTCTCAGGACCTTCTCAATCTACTTAACTTTTAGTCAAAGAAATGAGAACAGTGAAAAAATTAAACAGTTCTTTCAAGATCATAAAGATTATCACCCGGGGCTGGGGATGTGGCTCAAGTGGTAGCGCGCTCGCCTGGCATGCACGGGCGATGGGTTCAATCCTCAGCACCACATAAAAATAAAAGATATCGCGTCCAACGAAAACTAAAAAATAAATTTTTTAAAAAAATTCTCTCTCTCTTAAAAAAAAAAAAAAAAAAGATTATCATCCAAGTCTGAGGCTGGTTTTAAAGTATTCCAGAGATCTCAAGTGACACTATGCATACTTACAGGGCAGAATTTTCTTACAGTGTTTTAAGAAAAAAATCTATCTTTAAAACTATTGCTAAATCATGCTACAGCTTATACACAAGCCACCTGGGTTTGTGGCATTAGTTTTCCTTATAAAACTAGCTGCTAAGCCAGATACACACTTCCAGCCAAGTTCAGATCCACACAGGAAACTAACTTGCAACGGGCACCACACTCCATCAAAACGGCACTCAACACACTGAGAAGCCATGAGGCGTGCATACTCAGATGAGCTCTCCTAAAACAAGGGCACTTAAGTTATTAAATCAGAGAAACCCAGGTCTGGTTTGAAGTCCTGTGTGAGCTGAGGCTACCCTTCC